CTTAAAAATGGTTAAAATAGTAAAATTTATGTAACGTACATTTTTCCCACAGTAAAATAAATACATAAGTATGCTCCCTCCCAAAAACGGCAGTACCACTATCATCCCATTTCACAACTGAGGAAGCTGGCGCTGAGAAAGGTTAAACAGCTTGCCCAAGGTCACGGTGGCTCCTGGGGCAGCAGATCTGAACCTCAGCTCACATCGCAGGCCTCCAGAAGCACGAAGTCCAGGTCTAGCCTGGAAAGGAGAGCATGGAGGGAGCTGGAAACCACAGGGTGACAGAGCAAAGGACAGCGAAGGATCCAAGGACCATGACGAGGAGGTGGAAGGAGAAGCTCCCTGACTTGTGTCCCATCACCTTAGCGACAAGCTCTCCAGCCTGGGTCCAGTCCCTGCTCTGCCTCTCATTAGCTTTGACACATCCAAAAGGAGGATCCCTTTACTGCCGACAGTCCTCTATCACAGTGCCTTGCCCAGCTCTCCCAAAGTCACCACACAAAGTCCTGCCTCTGGGTCAAATGGCATTCTCTTCCCTTGCCTGAGCACACACCTCCCTCCTCTACCAGCCCAAGCCCCACTGCCTTCCAGAAAACTTGCAAGATAACCCAGCTCTTTGCTGTACTAGCTGTATGCACAGAAGACAGAACCAGCCACAGCCTCTTGCAAGCAGCAGGGAGAAAACAAGAAAGCAGGGCCAGGGTAGAGCTGTCAAGAGAGGGAAAGGCAAAACATGAGGGCAGATGGAGGAGGAGAGAAGTTGCCCCACATTCACCTCCCCACACCTGCCCACGGGGCTGGAGCCCAGGCCTGGCTAAAGGAAGTCAGAATGACCAGCATGTCAGTGCCAGGGCAAGGGTCACACAGTGACGGGGCAAAAATGAAAGGAGCCGTGAGCAGGAGAGGGCTCACAGCCCTGGCCCAGGAGCCAGTCCACAGTGTGGGAGGTGGGGCTCAGAAATAACAGGCGCTAATCTGTCCTGCGGCTTTGCGTGTCATCTGCATGTCTGCCTGGCCCGGGTCAGCATGCTGCTCTCCCTGGGTGCGCCAGACCAGGGCTGGGGGCAGGCCCACTGCTGTCCGCAGCGTCTGCAGGTCCAGACCCTCCTCAGGGCACCCTAGAGCCAGTGCGTTCTTCCTCCCACCCGCGTCTGCTTGCTTGTTCTCAGCTCCCACCCTGTGCTCCATGGGCCTGGCCCACGTGGAAAACACCTGATGGCCTCTGGATGTGGGAGTGGGGGAAAGTAAGACCAGGGTTCTGGGGGACTCTGGCACAGGAGGGAGGGTCTCCAAAGGAAGATGAGAAGATGGAGGACAGCAGCCTCAGTGAGATGATGCCTGAGTCAGCTTGGCAGCTTGGCCCTCTTCCTCCGCCTCCCTGGGGTCCATCCCACACACTGAGGCTGAGCTCAGAGCTATATATACACCTTCCAGCTGGACCAGAGCCCCTGCTGAGAGCCCCTCCATCAACTCCCTGCTCCATCCGTGCCTTGGCCCAGACCCCATGCCTGGTAAGAGGAGATGAGGATAAGCCAATGTCTGAACCCCAGAAGGATCTGTACTCACGTAGGACAGGTGCTGTGGGGGCAGGGTGAGGCACCAAACACTGCCGAGCAGCTGCCAGCGCCTGCCCAGACCCGGACCCACCTGGGCTGGGGCTAAGCAGGAGGCCAGGCAGGGGAGGAGAGAGAAGCAGGTGGGAGGCTTTGTACAGTTCAACGGGAGAGCACTGTGTGAGGAGGTAGGAGAACTGGGTTCTAGCCCCAGCTCTCCTGCTTACTACCTAAGAGACTTTGGGAGAAACTCTTGGCCTCTCAGAGCTTCTCTCTGCCTCTGCATGCAGAAACTCCTCTCTCACTCCCTCAAAAAGATGAAAAAGATTAAGGAGATAATGGATGTCCAAGGCCACTGAGTGCTCCGGTCTTAGCATAATTAAGAGGCTCCTTAGCCTCAGCCTCTCTCCTCCTCCCAGGTCCTCTTCTGGGCCACCCTCTCACCCTGTGCCCTCCTCACAGTGGACACCAACAGGGCCAGGACAGTTTGCCAAACACCATTTTCATCCCGACCCACACTCCGCCCCCGACTCAGCAGCTCCCCTCCTGCCGAACAACTCTAACCCAAGGCCTGTCGAAAGTCCGCAGGCTTGGGTTCACCAAACCCTGGCTCAATCGCAATCAGCGGGGGACTGAAGGTAGTCTCTTCACCCAATTCCTTTACAGGTAAAGTGAGTAGGAATATCTACCCGTAACAACTACATAAAACTGAGATCCACCCAGATGTCCACCAACAGGTGAATGAATAAACACGATGTGGTCTAGCCACACAGCGGAATGTTGCTCAGTGTTAAAAAGGAGGGAAATTCTGACACATGACACAACATGGGTAAACCACAAGGACACTATTCTAAGTGAAGTAATCCAGAAACAAAAAAGACAAACACTGTCTGACACCTCCTACATGAGGTACCTCCGATATGAGTGGTGTGGTGGTTGCTGGGGGCTGGGGAAGGGCTGGACCAGGAGTTCGTATTTAACGGGTACACACGTTCTGTTGGAGATGATAAAAAAGTTCTGGAGGTGGATGGTGGTGCTGGTTGCACAACAATGTGAATGTGCTTCGTGCCACTGAGCTGCATGCTAATGCTTAAAAAGATAAATGTTATGTGTATTTTGCCACACGCACAAAAGGAAACAGCTCAGCACCCAGAGCCTGGTGCACCGTGGCACCCACAGAAACGTCTGCAGATCCTGCCACACTCTGCCATCTCCATGGGCCTTCCCAGACACCTGCAGCAGCCTCTGCTCTCTCCCTGCAGTGTCCTGGCCACCCGATGGCCCCCCAACCAGGGGCCCCGACAGCTCTCCAGCTAAACTAAGAGCCCTCCCTGCACATCCCTTGCCCCTCTCACCTCAGTGCATGATCAGCACTATCCCACTCTCCACCAAAGTAGCAAGAAGAGCCTAGGGTCCAAGAGCCTCCGGCCCTCACCAGCTCCACAGGGGTGACCTACATAAAGCACCCAGTCCCACACCAGGCGCCCGACAGGTGCTCCATATATATCTGCTGTCTCTTCCACGAAGCTTCCATAGGGTCGAAAGTGAGAAGCAACCATCAGGAAAGGAAATGATGAGAGCAGGGGTGGTCCAGAGAGCTGACCCAGGGCGTGGGTGTCCATGAAAGTAAGAGAGACTCTGTGGGAACCGAGCAAAACCGCGGGGGTAGGCTGGTTAGGAGAGGCAAGCAGTTTTATTATTGGTGATAGAGGAGCAGACCTAGAGCCTAGCTCAAAAGGAACTTGCTTGCCCAACAAGCAAAAGAAAGAGAAGACCTCATTTCGGCCTCACAGGGAAGGCAGTGGGTTTAAACATAATGCAGAAGGGCTGTGAGGGCTCCACGACTTGTGGGCCAATAACAAATCGGATGTGAATTTAAACACTTTATTTATGAATTTTTAGAGAGAAGGGAAAGGAGGGACAATGAGAGGGAGAGAAACATCAATGTGGGAGAGATACATCGATCGGCTCCCTCTCACACACCCCCAACTGGGGACCTGGCCCGCAACCAAGGCGTGAGCCCTGGCTGGGAATCAAACCAGCGACCCTTTGGTTTGCAGGTCGGCACTCAATCCACTGAGCCATACCAGCCAGGCCAGGTGTGAATTTAGTCAGTTGAATTAAGTTCAATAGTGTCTCCCTCAAAATTCTTGTCTACCTAGAAACTCAGAATGTGACCTTATTTGGAAATAGGGTTTTTACGGTGTAATTAGTTAAGGTGAGGTCATACTAGATTAGGGTGGGCCCTTAGTCCAATGACTGGCATCCTTACAAGAATATGAGGAGACACACAGGGTCAGACTCGGAAAGAGCACAGCCATGTGACACCGAGTCAGAGACTGGACAAGCCAGAACGCAAGGGTTGCCAGCAAGCACCAGAAGCCAGGAGAGAGGCATGGAGCGGATCTCCCCCAGACCCTCAGAAGGGACCCATCCGAGGATACCTCGGTTTCAGACTTGAGGCCTTCTGAACTGCGAGAGAATAAGTTTCTATTGTTTTAAGACCCCCAACTTTGTGGTCATTTCTTAGGAGACAAATGGTCCCCACTGGCCCCTCACACAGTGCTCTTGAAACAGTTGGCAGAGGACCTGTGCTGGGGCAGGGGCTCTGGTGTGGCTGGGCGGAGACACAGAATGGAGCCCCCTGGGCTACAGCCACTTTGTTGAAAGCCAGGGCACAGCCCTCTGTCCTCAGGGGCTTCTGCCAGCTACAGAGACCCTCACAGCTCTTGCCCAACGGCAGTGCTTCAAGCTGGGAGTCCTGGGGGACTTTCCACTGGGAACAGAAGCCTGACCTGGGCCCTCCAGCAGCTGTTCAGTTTTTGTTTCAGTTTCCCAAATACCCTTTCTTCCACCCGAAGGTCAATGTGGCCCCAGGTAGACCACTTGGTCCTTCCCACTCGGCTGCTGGATATGAAATGCTTCTGTCTTTGGATATTCTGCACCCTCAGTCCCTCAGAAGAGCAAGCCTTTCCAGATCCCTTAGCTGGAATCCCTGCTGAAACGCTCCAGTCTGCCTCACAGTCCGCAGTCCCTTCTGTGCACTCAACAACACCCCCTCCCCCACACATACACACTCTGAGTGGGACTAGATCTGCCCTCTGTACTTAGAACACAGAAAGCTTAATGAAGGAGGGAATGGTTCTAGCAGCCGCCTTCCTGACCAGCCTGCAAAGCCAGGCCTGCGGGACAGCTTGTAGGATTTTCCATTATTTTACTCCTTTCCCAAGTCTCCCACCATGCTCTCAAAGGTTTCTCCTCAGATGCCCTCCTATCCCTTAGGAACCCAGCTCAGAAGAAAGCAGTGTCCACCTGATAAAAAGCCTCAAGAGATCATTTCCTTCAAGAGACCCCAAGGTTGCTGCGCCTCACCCCCGCCTAGGTTCTATTTCCAGAGCTGGACCACGAGGTCAGGGGCTGGCCGCCCCACCCCAACAGGGTCCTTACCGTACATCTTGCCCTCATCTGAAAGAATGATCTTGCGCCGGCCACAGGGCGGGTAGATGGCCAAGGCCTCCTGGAAGCTCTGCTCAATGTCCGGGCTCCACACCCCCTCCGCATCGTTGTCGATGGGCTTGTCCAATGCCTGACTGCCCCCAGAGACGTTGCTCCCCTCGGGGGAGTTAGGAGAGCTCCACTCGTTGGAGGTAATGGTGCCGGCCGTGCCCTCCAAGGCTCCGCTTGGAGGAGCGCCTGTTGGACCTGTCTGGGCAGAAACCACAGTGTTGGTGGAAGAACTACGCGGCCCACAGGGCAGGGGTACCCAGGGAGTGTGGAGCCCTGGCCACGCACAGCGCAGGAGCTTGGAGGGACAAGGCCAGGGGGACAGAGAGTAACTCGAAAGATCCAGGAAGACCAGAAGGCCTGGGCCCTGGGGCAGGTCATCTCCGCTCTGTAGGCCTCAACTTCCCGCCTGTCTAATGAGCACAGTGACCTGGGCACTCTCTGACCACAGCTCTAAGAACCCAGACAGGGGGCTGGGGAGTAGGGGACAAAGATGGTCTGGCATTAAATCAATATGGGCAAAAAGGATATGGAACATTGTGTGCTGTGGGCACGAATATAAATGGTACAGCCGCTGTGGGAAACAATATGGAGGGCTCTCAAAAAGTTAAAAGTAGAACTATCACGTGATCCAGCAATCCTACCACTGGGTGCATATCCAAAAGAGCTGAAAACAGGTCCTGAAGAGATCTGTGCACACCCATGTTTATAGCAGCATCATTCACAACACCCAAGAGATGGAAGCAACCCAGATGTGCACAGATGAATGAACTGATGAACAAAGTGAGCTCTATTCATATAATGGACTGTTATTCACCCATAAAAAGGAAGAAAGTTCTGTCACATGCCACAACATGGATGATCCTTGAGGACATTATGCTCAGCGAAGCACCTAGAGCAGTCAAACCCACAGAGACAGCAAGTAGCACATGGTTGCTGGGGGAGAGGAGGAAATGGGGAGTTTGGTGTTAATGGGCAGAGTCTTAGCTTTGCAAGATGAAAGGCTCTGGGGATCTGCTGCACAGCAGTGTGAATATCCAGTTAATGCCACTGAGCTGTACACTTAAAAATGGTTAAGATGATACAGTGTATGGGTTTTTTCCCACAATAAAAATTTTAAGTTAAAAAAGAAGTAAGCAAAATAAAATGCAGCTCACCATTCTCTAATCCATCCCCAGCTTGGGCTGATGTTAAAAGGAAGCTTCTAGCCCCGGGAGACTCTCACATGTAGGGGCTCTGGCAAGGCTGACTTGCGGGTGCCTCCAAAATCTGACAACACAACCCTGTCCTTGCCACCAGCACGAGACAAATCCAGTGACCTGTTAGTACCAACTATCTGAGAGGTAAATTTCTGACATAGTTCTCGGGAGTTTGGGAAGGAGCAGGACATACTGCCAATCTCAAGGCAGTTTTTAGATGAGCACCAGGTAGGCACCATTGACTTCCCAGAGCCCCCAGTCACTGAGCACCTCTGCAAAGGACGACCTGCCCCATCACACACATCACCCCTTTCCTTCTCCCCCATCAGCCATGAGGAGCAGTGTAGCCCAGCAGCCAACCCAATTCCATCCAGGACCCTCTGAGGTAAGACCTTCCCAGAGCACTCCCCAAGCCTGAAGCCCCTGGCCTGTGACCCAGGCATGTTAGAGGAGCACGGTTCTTCACAGAGAGGTGGGTATGAGGGTCAGTGTGGTCACCACGCAGTGAAGGGAAGGGGGAGCTGAGTGTGTGTGTTGGGGCGCATCCTGGGAGAGCATGGGGGATCCAAGGAGCTTAGTGAGACTGCTGGCACAGGCACACAGTCAGAAAGAGGCTAAACCACTGAAATTTAAAACAGAAACCCTAGGGAAAACCCAACCCCATCCCCTCAGCTTGCAAATGAGGACACTAAGGCCTGCCCAGAAAGGCCTAAGGACTTGCCCAAAGTCACAGAGCAAGTCCACAGGGTCTGGACCTGCCCCGCCCCAGTGCCCCAGGCCACTTAGCATAATCAACGTTGGCTTTCTCCCGTGGCTGTTAAAATAACTTTTCCTCAAAGTGCGTCTTGGAGGGTCACTTGATCTGGGAAAAACTAGCTTACTGTCCATCAGAAAATCTGGTCTTTATTTTATTGTGAACGTTTAACCACTTTTCAGAACGATTCAAAAAAACTTAAGAGTTGGAATTTAGAAATGACAAATATAACAAATACATTTTTAAATGCATAACTAACTTCAGAAGAAACTAAGTCCCTAAAAGCTCAAAACGAAAGAACTCTAAAATGTAGTAATAAGCAAATAAGTTGTTACTACAGTAGCTCTGGGAGGCAGGGCATGAAGCTGATCTTAATAGCAAAGGCACTGAGTTTCAATGGCTACTCAGAGATGCAACCCTAGACTTCAGAGATACAGGGAGGTTGGGACAGGGAATTATACCTCAGTCCTCAGAGAAAAGGTAGAATCCCAACAAAATACAACAGGGAAGATTGTCTTGGCCTAAGCTCTAAGTACAAAACAAGAATCATCTTTTTTGCCCTGGCTGCTGTGGCTCGGTGGATTGAGCACCTGCCTGCAAACCAAAGGGTCGCCAGTTCAACTCCCAGTCAGGGCACATGCCTGGGTTGAGGGCCAGGTCCCCAATAGGGGGTGTTCAAGAGGCAACCACACATTGATGTTTCTCTCCCTTTCTTTCTCCCTCCCTTCCCCTCTTTCTAAAAATAAATAAATAAAATCTTAAAAAAAAAAAAAGAAAACGAAGTAAAACAACATTTAAAATAATAATGGCAGGAAATTTTCCAGAATTAATGAAATACATGAATGCTCCAATTCAGGAACCATACTGAATCCTCACCAGAATAAATTCAAATAAAATAAGCTCATATGACAGGTATACTTTGGAAAACAAAATGAAAAGATCTTAAAAGCATCCAGAGTGACAAAGGACAAACTCCCTACAAAGCAATGACTATCATACTGATCGAGCACACTGATCGTACTCGTAGATTTCTCAGTAGTAATATGAGAATACCCAAAGTAACATCTCCAAACTGTTGAGAAAAAAAATTAACTGTCAACCTAGACTTTTTTCTTTTTATTAAATTTTTGGGGTGACATTGGTATTAAGATTAATGTTTCAAGTGTACAATTCTATAACACATCATCTATATACTGCGTCGTGTGCTCACCACCCAAAGTTCAGTTTCCGACCGTCACCATGTGTTTGACCCGCTTTCCAGTCTTCATCCTCTCCCACCCACCCCGCGTCTGGTAACGGCCACACTGTTGTCTGTGTCAATAGTTCTTCTGCTCTGTTTTGATTGTATTTTCAGATAAAGATGGAGAGAATTTTGTAACAACAGATGCTCACTGGAAAATAAAAAACAGTAAAGGAGGCATTTTAAAAAACAAAAAGGAACTGATATGAAAAGAGGGCAGTACACACATGGAAGAGTGGTGAGCGAAGTAACTGTTGACAACGAGAGAGAATCTAAAGAACATTAACTATGTGAAAACATCAACAATGATGATGACAGCTAAGTTTGGCCATGCAGTACACACACGTGTGCGTGCAGAGAGACCATGTTTCTGAACCATAAGTTCAGAAGGTGCCATTTGGTAAAATGTGATAAAGTCAGGACCTATTCACAATAAAAACTCTCAGCAAACTATGAGAAACAAAAGGAACTTCTTTAATCCATTAAAAGGTATCTGCACAAAACCTACTGTAATATTGTAATTTATAATAGAACTATAAATTTGGTCTTTGTCCGGGTTTCTAGCACGGAGCTCCCACAACACCTGGAACTTCCTAAGTGATGACAGGGATAGCGGCATCCTGTTGTGTGAATGAGGTGACTTTCAGGAAGTGCCTAAGGATGGGGCTGGTGGTCCGCAGAACCAACCAGGTGCTTAGAGGGTTGGACCTTTCAGTCCCTCTTTACCCCCACCTTCTGGGAAGGAGAGAGGAGCTGAAGGTGGAATCAACTGCCTATGGCCAATTTATGGCCAAGGATTTAACCAGTCGGGCCCAGGTGATGAAGCCTCCATAAAACCACAAAAGGACGGCCCAGTGGGAGGGACCAGCAGCCAAGTGAGAACATGCTGAGGCTTCCTCCTCCTCACCCTCCTCAGCCTGCTGGAAGCTCACCTCTACAGTGCTCAAAAAAGGAAGACAATCAAATTATAAAAACTTTTAAGAGCCTTGACTGGTGTGACTCAGTGGACTGAGCACCGGCCTGTGAACCAAAGGATCGCCAGGTCGACTCCCAGTCAGGGCACATGCCTAGGTTAAGGGCCAGGTCCCCAGTTGGGGGAGTGAAAGAGACAACCACACATTGATGTTTCTCTCCCTCTCTTTCTCCCTCTTTGCCCCTCTCTAAAAATAAATAAATAAATCATTAAAAAACAAAAAACCTCTAAGAGAATTCAGCAAGATCAGTATCAAACTCAGTTACATTCTTTTATACCAGAAATAAGGTATTAGACAATATAATTTTTTAAATATTCCATTTAGAAACCAAACACATAATTCATCTAGTGAGAAATGTAACAGATGAGACCTAAACAGAGAAAATCATTAACTCTTTTGAAAGACAAAATACCTAAATAAATGAAGAGGAAATGGTATGTTCATAATTGGGAATATATAAAGATGTTGAATCTCTACAAATAAATTCAATTAAGTTTTTACTAAAATCCCACAAGTTTTCAAAAAACTAAGCTGATTTTCAAAACATATGGAAGGCCCAAGACCACTTTACAGTCCTCTAACTCAGCGGTCCCCAACCTTTTTGGTACTAGGGACCAGTTTCACAGAAGATAATTTTTCCATGGACTGGGGCTGGGGGGAATGACTTTATAGCCTGCCACCAGATGCAGCTTAACTGTCACTTGCCACTCGCTGATAGGGTTTTGATGTGAGTCCACAAGCACCTGATTTATTATGGTCTCTGTGCAGTCACAGCTCTCTGCTCATGATAATCCGTATTTGCAGCTGCCCCCCCAGTGCTGGCATCACCGCCTCAGCTCACCGGGCATTAGATTCTCATGAGGAACACACAACCTAGACCGCTCGCATGTGCAGTTCACAGTAGGGTTTGTGCTCCTGTGAGAAGCTAACGCCCCCGCTGATCTGACAGGAAGTGGAGCTCAGGTGGTAATGTAAGTGATGGGGAGAAGCTGTAAACACAGATGAAGCTTAGCTCCTTGCTCACCTCCTGC